CCTAGACTGCCGGGGGATTTCCCATGATGCACTGAGCTCCTCTCTCCTCTACTTTCTCTCCCTCTGTATGCAACCTTATCCCATTATTGCATGTTACTAACACAACTTCTCCCCTTTCTGGTAGTCTTGTGCTTTCTCGTCCCTCTCCTCTCTCCTCCTATCACTTCCTGCAGGTTTTCTGGCTCTGGAGCTGTGGAGTCTGGATCTGTGGCTGCGGGTCGCATGCTGCCCCTGTGTTCCTGCTCGACACCCTCTACTGCAGCGACTGTTGTCGCTGGTCTTATTGTTATTATAATCATTAACATTACGATGGTTACCATTAACACTATTATAAATATCTGTACCATTTTTCATTTAGTTTATAGCAACATTACCTTCGCTGTCTGTACCTCTGTGTGTATATTGTGTAGGCTGCCTCCCTCCCCTCTCTCTCTCCTTACATCCCTCTCTCTCTCTCTCTCTCTCTTTCTCTCTCTCTCTCTCTTTCACTCTCTTCTCTCTCTTTCTCTCTCTCTCTCTCTCTCACCCCAACCGGTCGAGGCAGATGGCCGCCCACCCTGAGCCATGGTTCTGCTCGAGGTTTCTGCCTCTTAAAAGGAAGTTTTTCCTTGCCTCTGTCGCCTAGTGCTTGCTCTTGGTGGGAACTGTTGGGCTTCTGTAAATATCATCACAGAGTACGGTCTAGACCTGCTCTTTTATGAAAAGCGCTGTGAGATAACTGTTGTTGTGATTTGGCGCTATATAAATAAAATTGAATTGAATTGAATTGAATTGAATAACACACTAATTTATACTCGTTACTCCTCCAGTTTGTGGATTGTGCCTCTGCAGATACAGAGTAAGGATGCCACTGTGCTAGTATGTCAAGCCAGCCTCCTCCTTGTGTGTACCAACCAATACACATGGCAACATGTGAATGGGGAGTACTGGTACCTACTTTTTCACTTCAAGCTGGAGGTAGGGGTGGTGAGGGCGCAGTAGATAAGACGGATATCTTTTGTGTGAGCGACCCGGGTTCACTTCCTCACTGTGACTCATACACCAATGACCTAAGCTGGTCAGCCACATTCCACAGCATTGCAAATTAATTTTCTTAATATACTACAAGGTAAGCTTTACTGTGTGGTAAAGTCAGCAGTAAGTCTGAGCATTCAGTGTAAAGTTCATATTTAACACTACACCACACTGAGAAGTGCAAATCAAGTTCTACACTAAGAAAGAAATAACCCTCATTCATAATGTACTTTTATTAATTCACTCTTCATTGGTGTTAAACCTTTTCATTGAATCCTGAAAGTGTTAAAATTCACAGTTACTCACCTTAAGTGTTATTTACACCTTGTTGGAGTCTGTTTAAATAAAAATCTAAATAACTACTTTGTAGTGTTTTACGATTTTCTACTTTACCATGTCCAGCTTACACTTAAAACAAGTAAAACCTTTAATGTTTGAAGGGGGCAAAAAAACCAACCCACCATAACATCAATGTAATCCATACAATTGATCAAAAATAAAAACATTTACCCTCAAGGCCTAGTTTATAGTTCTGTGTGACAGCTACATTAGCACTCACTATTAAACTACACATTCATTTTAAAAGCTGAAAAAATTAAATGACAAGGTGCATGTAAAATCTCTCAACACTGGGTGTGCAGTCCAGGGGAAAATTGTAGCCTAGAACAAACATCATTATCATGCCGTTTTGAATCTACCAATCAACTACGGGTGCTGGTCATATAATTAGAATATCATCAAAAAGTTGATTTATTTCAGTAATTCCATTCAAAAAGTGAAACTTGTATAATGTATACATTCATTCCACACAGACTGATATATTTCAAGTGTTCATTCCTTTTAATTTTGATGATTGTAACTGACAACTAATGAAAACCCCCAAATCAGTATCTCAGAAAATTAGAATATTGTGAAAAGGTTCAATAATGAAGACACCTGTTGCCACAATCAGCTAATTAACTCAAAACACCTGCAAAGGCCTTTAAATGATCTCTCAGTCTAGTTCTGTTGGCTACACAATCATGTGGAAGACTGCTGACTTGACAGCTGGCCAAAAGACGACCATTGACACCTTGCACAAGGAGGGCAAGACACAAAAGGTCACTGCTAAAGAGGCTGGCTGTTCACAGAGCTCTGTGTCCAAGCACATTAATAGAGAGGCGAAGGGAAGGAAAAGATGTGGTAGAAACAATTGTACAAGCAATAGGGATAACCGCACCCTGGAGAGGATTGTGAAACAAAACCCATTCAAAAATGTGGGGGAGATTCACAAAGAGTGGACTGCAGCTGGAGTCAGTGCTTCAAGAACCACCACGCACAGACGCAAGACATGGGTTTCAGCTGTCGCATTCCTTGTGTCAAGCCACTCTTGAACAAGACAGAAGCGTCTCACCTGGGCTAAAGACAAAAAGGACTGGACTGCTGCTGAGTGGTCCAAAGTTATGTTCTGATGAAAGTAAATTTTGCATTTCCTTTGGAAATCAAGGTCCCAGAGTCTGGAGGAAGAGAGGAGAGGCACAGGATCCAAGTTGCTTGAAGTCCAGCGTAAAGTTTCCACAGTCAGTGATGGTTTGGCGTGCCATTTCATCTGCTGGTGTTGGTCCACTGTCTGAGGTCCAAGGTCAACGCAGCCGTCTACCAGGAAGTTTTAGAGCACTTCATACTTCCTGCTGCTGACCAACTTTCTGGAGATGCAGATTTCATTTTCCAACAGGACTTGGCACCTGCACACAGTGCCAAAGCTACCAGTACCTGGTTTAAGGACCATGGTATCCTTGTTCTTAATTGGCCAGCAAACTGGCCTGACCTTAACCCTATAGAAAATCTATGGGGTATTGTGAAGAGGAAGATGCGATACGCCAGACCCAACAATGCAGAAGAGCTGAAGACAACTATCAGAGCAACCTGGGCTCTCATAACACCTGAGCAGTGCCACAGACTGATGGACTCCATGCCACGCTGCATTGCTGCAGTAATTCAGGCAAAAGGAGCCCCAACTAAGTATTGAGTGCTGTACATGCTCATACTTTTCATGTTCATACTTTTCAGTTGGCCAGCATTTCTAAAAATCCTTTTTTTGTATTGGTCTTCAGTAATATTCTAATTTTCGGAGATACTGAATTTGGGATTTTCATTAGTTGTCTGTTATAATCATCACAATTAAATGAAATAAACATTTGAAATATATTAGTCTGTGTGTAATGAATGAATATAATATCCAAGTTTCACTTTTTGAATGGAATTACTGAAATAAATCAACTTTTTGATGATATTCTAATAATATGTCCAGCACCTGTATAACCAAAATCTACCAAATAAGCCCCTGAGAGAGTTGTGATGCCCAGGTGTGCCTGCCGTGTGTGTGTGTTCAGAATTTTATTCCATCCTCTAGTCTATCCTCATTAAGGAAATAGTGAGAGAGATGCCTGCAGTTGCTATTGGTGTTCTGCGTCTTAGGGGTACTGTACATGTCATGGTGCTGGATGAACAACAGAATTTACAGGTGCACTGCCCCAGATAAACAGGCAACAGCTGCAGGCGTTTTTCACACTCAAAATAGGTTTGAAAAGTCAAAAAGTCCCATCTCCCACAGGAAACACTGCTCTGAACTGATTGAAAACAGCTCGTTTGTAGTCCGGCCGCTTCCCTTGGATGAAAGCAAAATGCGCCTCATATAACGCTCGCCAAGCGGCTAGTCGGACATGCCCCAAAAAACACAGGTGGAAAAACACTGAACTGCAGCACACACCTCCTCTCCGTTCCAAACACTAGCTACCCTCCAGGCAGTCAATGGACATAAAGTTGTTACTGTGATGTAGAGACAGAGCTGAGTTAAAACTGTTCTCATCTGTGACACCACGATGGTGGAACGAGCTACCACATGCCATCAGAGCAGGTGCGTCCCTCTCTAACTTCAAGAAGCTCTTGAAAACCCATCTCTTCCGCGAACACTTCCTCTTATAACACCTCTAACTCCTAACCTCTAACATGCACTTCTGTGCTCTTCTTCTTCTATCCCCTTACAATTATCTTGTATTGATTGCACTTTTTTTGTTAACTCTTACTTCTTTGCCTAGGTATTTTCCCCATTGATGTGATATGTGCCATTAGCTCTCAATAGTACTTTTAGTAAGTAATTTTAGTATGTATTGTCAGTTGTAGATGCTCTGTTGATGCTTGGATGTTGTTCCTCAAATGTAAGTCGCTTTGGATAAAAACGTCTGCTAAATGAGTAAATGCAAATGTAATAAACTATCATCAGTAGAGCAGTGCTGAGGATGAAGAATGAATCATCAACACATTTGCAGATGTATGATGTCATTGATGATGTATATTCCACAAGGTTAATGTGACTCTCCTGGGTGACGGCTTCTCTGAACATACTTCAATCTGTGCTCCCAAAACAGTCCTGCAGAACTGCTTTAGATTCATCTGTCCACACTTTGACTGATTTAGTTGTTGGCCTGACCCTTTTAATCAGCTGGGTGTTAGTGGGCTGAAGAAGCAGAGAACCATGGTCTGATTAACCAAAATGGGGACGGGGGAGGGCTTTGTAGCTGCCAGGAATATTGGTGTAGATGTGGTCCAGCATGTTTGTTCCTCTGGTGGGGATGTGGACATGCTGGTGAAATTTAGGTAATACTGTTACAAGATCTGTTTGATTAAAATCACCAGCAGCAACAAAAACACCATCAGGTTGTTTTGTCATGTGACTCCTGATGACCTCATGCAGTTCCTGTTGAGCATTTAAGTTTAAGGCACTTCTGCTTTGGCTTCACTTTTCAGAACTGGAGGTTGCTGATTTAAGGCAATTTTATTAAAGAGCACATGAGACAAAACAAAACTGAGCCTAAACAAGATTATTTAAAAGTCTGCAGTTTCTTTATATATTGTAACATCTGTAACTTGTTTTTACAGTCCATCCCAGAGCAAAATGATTCCTCAGAAGGTGATCTTTGTGTGCATGTGCGTGTGTGTGTGTGCAGGGCTCGCTTAGACGTGGCTCTGCTGGCTGAACTATCCAGCATTACATGCTCTCCAGCACCACCTCAGGAGAAACTCTACAGTATCTCTGTCAACAAACGAGTCCCACCCTGTAATAGTACCCCACGTAGCCCAGGTAAAACCACACACAATGTGAACATGCTGGAATCCTGCACTTATGCCTATTTTTTGTATGATTTGGAAGTGGTTGTTTTCACTGAAAGTATTTGGCAGTTGCTCCAAGTTTGAACCTACTAATGATAACAGGTGGAGATACAATCTCTAGAACATTTAAACCAACATATGGAATGCAAAGCAATGCCCGTCCAACCAGGTTGTTACATACCACTACAACGGGCATACATGCATTAGGATCTGTAGGATCAATATTAAGGAGAGTAGATGGACAAGAGCACACTTTGGAGAATCACTGTATCAGCACTACATTAGTGTTTGGAAAGACTGACATTGGCTGCTTTTTGTGGAACACTTAAAACAGTTAAAGCCAGATGGTGACTGATTGCATCTGTTGAGGGTGGATGATGATATTCAGAATATAGGAGAGTATTTATAGTAATTTCGTTTGATCATCCTTGTATTTATTAAATATAAGTAAATGATACCTTCATCAAATATATATAACACATGCAGTGCGTTTACATGCACTTAAGTAACTTAAGGTGATGCAGGTATTCAGAATGTGTTTACCTGCACTATAATAAGCAGGTTACTGTAAATCTTTTTACATGCAGCAGGTCAGTATTCAGATTTTTAGAACCATGCAAATTTGTAAAAAGTTGATTAGAAACCAGATTCCCTTAATCCTTTAACCTCAATTAGGGAAACCAGGACCATGCATGCAAACTGCATACTAATAAAAAATAAATTCCAGTAAAGGAGAACTTAAGTGACAAACCCTGGTTTACAGCCAAATTCAGTCAGCTGAGGTTGGAAAAGGAGGAGGCATTTAGGAGTGGGGACCGAGCTAGGTGCGGAGCGTTAAAGTGAAGAAGCTAAACGTCTGTACGCAGAGAGGCTAAAGAACCAGTTCTCTGCAAACGATGCCACTTCTGTCTGGAGGGGGTTCGGGCAGATCACTAACTACAAACCCAAAGTCCCCCACTCCATCAACAACTCTCACCTGGCAAATGAGCTGAACCAGTTTTACTGCCGCTTTGAGAGTTAATCGGTCACCATCCCCCGTGACTCCTCCACTCAGTTTCAACCCCAGTCCACCATCTCCTCCCCCCACTCCTCAGAGTTGGCCAACTCCACTCCCTCCCCTCTGACCCTGCTGCAGGACAAGCTTTCCCAGCTGAACGTGCCTGACTCCACCTGCAGGTGGATCACTGACTTCCTGACGGACAGGAGGCAACATGTTAAGCTGGGAAAACATGTCTCTGATTCCAGGACCATCAGCACCGGTTCCCCTCAAGGGTGCGTTCTTTCCCCTCTTCTCTTCTCCCTGTACACCAACAGCTGCACCTCCAGTCACCAGTCTGTCAAGCTCTTGAAGTTTGCGGATGACACCACCCTCATTGGGCTCATCTCTGGTGGGGATGAGTCTGCCTACAGGTGGGAGATTGACCATCTGGTGACCTGGTGCAGCCAGAACAGTCTGGATCTCAACGCTCTGAAGACAGTGGAGATGGTCATAGATTTTAGAATGAGCCCAGCCCCACCCTCCCCCATCATCCTGTGTGACTCCTTCCACTTCCTGGGCACCATCATCTCCCAGGATCTCAAGTGGGAGCTGAACACCACCCCAATCATCAAAAAGTCCCAGCAGAGGATGTAATTCCTGCGGTAGCTGAAGAAGTTGAGCCTCCTCCCACCCCGGACACAAACTGTTTCAGACTCTCCCCCCTGGCAGGAAGCTGCGGTCCAGCAGGACCAAAACCTCTTGCCACAAAAACAGCTTCTTCCCATCTGCAGCTAGCATCATCAACAAGGCCCGGGCCCCCCACTGACACTCCCCCCTTGTAAATAATACATACGTCACTGCACATGTAAACATTATTTCATTTCATATCATGCACAAACCTGGCATATTGCACACATTTTTTGTTAATTGTTAAATACTTGTTGTATATTTTTATATTGTCAATTTATATATTTTTTTGCAATACGTCTGCTCTACACAAACCCAGAATAATGCACGTTCTGCAAATAGTTGTATATTCTGCATATAGTCGTATTATTTTTCTCTATTCTCTTTAATATTCTTATATAACTTGCATTGTCTATTCCATATTTATATATTTCTACATTTACTTATGTCAACTGTATGTTTGTCTACGTGTAGCACATTCCTCATATGTGGTGAACACTACTTGGCAATAAAGCTCCTTCTGATTCTGATTCTTCTGATTCTGAAGTGACATAAGGTCTTTTTCTGCTGTTGACAGACGTACACCGGCGTGTGACGGCGGGTGTTATTAAGGCCAGTCTCCCAGGCTCACCTGTCTGCAGCCACCTCAGCCCTGTGGATCTCAGGGCCGAGAGTTTCACCACACCAAGAGGATGCTCAGTACAGGTTAATCCAGCCACTCATTTCATTCACCAGTGTGACTTTCTTCAGAGGACTCTGGATTGACGCAAACCATTGTAATGGGGGAACAAAGTGTTAACTTGCCTCGTTTTAATTAATTAATTAAATTAATTTTAATTAACTACAACATACTGAATATGTCCTTAACATTTGCATATGTGTTTTGTGTTGGTCCATAAAACCAACAAAACACAAAACAACAAAACTTCTTAAAGCCAACACATATGTGACGTTACATTCTGTCAATTCTTAGGGGTCCAACATTTTTCAGCCTCCACGTTTCAAGGTAGACTCTGTCAGTAGTCCCAAGGGCTTCATCACAGCCTGCCAGGAGGAATGGCTGTCTGTAGATACTGTATCTTCCAGCTCCAGAGTCCACAGATGCTGCAGCACTGTGGAAGGAGAGCAGAAAATAGAACATGAAGAGGGACCCGGAGGGTCTGACCAGGTGCAGCGTAAAAAGAGGCAAGATGAAATGAATGGAACCAGTCAAAGGCAACCAAGGATGTATGTGGGGGAAGAGGAAGACGAGGCAGAAGAGGAACTTGAGGAAATAGAGAAAGGAGTAGATTTGGTAAGAGAGTGCACTAAAGAAAACATCGAAGAGGAGTATGAAGGAGGAAAGCATGTTGAAGAACACATTGAGGAAGAGGAGAATGTCTGGTGGGACGTACAGAGAGGTGAGAACCAACATCATTTATGTCATGTCTGAATAATCATAAAAATCAGTTCCCAACTCGGGATGTCACAAGAACCGATACTCATCCAAAATTGTGAAAACATGCTGGTACTTGTTCTACAGTACTATAGGTACTAGGGATCCCACACGGAAGATGGCGACAAGTGCAGCGGCAGCCCCGTCGTCGTGTTTGGACACCGGGTGGTTAGTTTAATTTCAACATTTGTCAGTTTTCGTGGCTAATTTAGGCAGACGTTTCACACTTTTGACAAGATGACGATACATGACGTTTGCAGTGCAAAGAACTGAGTGTCTGTCCAAAGCGCCTGTCACTGGAGTTAGGGTCCATCTTAAAAGTGCAATACGATCCATTTCAATCATCAATAACCTTTTTGTTTTGCAACACAGAAATCTGAAACCACTGCCAATACAGACAGTGATCACCCTTAAACATTTCACAACTGCGAGTTTGTAAAAAAGAAAATTAATTAATTAAGCACATTGCAAGGTTGTAATTTCAATAGTTTAATTTAGTTTTATTTTCAGATGTTTTTATTAGAGGAGCGTTAAAGTACACAGGATTTATTGTTTTGTTGTTGTTTTTTTTACTGTGATACTGAATTGGGTATTAGGAATCGTGGAATTTCAGTGGTATTAGTACCGACTTCTAAATTTCTGGTATCCCTATTCCTGACTGGGAGAGTGACCTAGATTAGTTATTTATTATCATTAGCCATGATCAGAAGACCAGGTCCATGTTGTTTCCACATTATGACTTAAAGCTCATGAACACACCAAAATTGGAGCAATGACTTCTCACTACGGGAAATGGGACAATCCGAGGAGCATGTAAATGCAGCACCAACAGGTTCGGAGCTGATGGCCCATTGCAGAGGGGGCGTGAACTTCTAGTGGGCTCTTATACGGGGCACTTTGTTCCCTTTACATTTACTCATTTGGCAGACGCTTTTATCCAAAGCGTACATTTGAGGAACAACATTCAAGCATCAACAGAGCATCAACTACAGATCTACAACTGACAATACATACTAGTAAGAGAAGCAATAAATACTAGTAAGAGCTCACAGAACATCACATCAATGGGGTAAATACCTAGGGAAGGAAGTAAGAGTTAACAAAAAGAGCAATCAAAACAAAAAAGTGCAATCAATACAAGATAATTGTAGGCACAGGACGTGCATGTTAGAGGTTAGAAGTTAGAGGTGTTATAAGAGGAAGTGTTCTCGGGAAGAGATGAGTTTTCAAGAGTTTCTTGAAGTTAGAGAGGGACGCCCCTGCTCTGATGGCATGCGGTAGCTCGTTCCACCATCATGGTGTCACAGATGAGAATAGCTTGGACTGGGATTGCTTTGTGTGAAGGGATGGCAGAGCCAGGTGGTGTTCGTTGGAGGAGCGTAGCGGCCGAGAATGTAGTGTCATGTAAAAATTCAAGACTTGTGCCAGATAAGAAAGCTTGAACTTTTACCAACATTTTTATTATCAGCAAAAACAGAAACCAATTAGAATACAAAAGTTCCACCGGAGTGTGTCAGAGATCTGTGCAAAATAGAGCCCCATTCTGTTACCAGAACAGAGACCCGAGTCGACATGAAAACCATGTAACGACTGACTTTCACCTCCTTTTGGACCTCCTTTTATAGCTCTGTTTCTTGGCTTCACATCATCTCTTGGCTCTCTTTCCTACTGCACCTGAATCTGGGAAAGTCCAAGATTTTCACGTGCCTAAGCATTTGGTGGGAAAGTCCCTGACTGCCTGCTCCTCCTCTCTGTGTCTTTTGCATGCACTCTGCTTGATCATGCCATTTCATCCATAACCTGACTTTTGTGGAATAAACTGGTGTTGTTTGTGCTCTGTGCTAGAAACAGGACATTCTTACTGTGATGGACTATATTGATGTATGTTTTGTAATACAAAATCTGCTTCTATATTTTCCTTTGCAAGGTATTTTTGATGCTGCCTCACTGTGCTCCCTCCCTTTTCTCCCAAAGCACACAAACTTGCTCACACACACACACACACAGACTTGAATTTGATTCTGGAGGCCACGGGGAGTCAGTGGAGTAATGGAGTGACGAGTCTTTTTGGGCTGACCAAAAACCAGACGCGCTGCTGCGTTCTGAACCATTTGGAAGGGTTTCACCACACAAGCTGGAAGACCTGTTAGGAGGGCATTGCAATAGTCGATGCGAGAGATAACCATGGCCTGTACCAGAAGCTGGGTGGCGCACTGAGTGAGGTAGGGCCTGATTGTCATTATGTTGTATAGAGCAAAGTGGCATGACCGAGAGACAGTAGCAACATGGTCTGAAAAGGTCGTCTGTGTAGCAGTGGTAAGAGAAGCCGTGCGAGCGAATGATCGGCCCCAGTAAGGTTGTGTAAATTGAGAAGAGAAGGGGCCCTAGCACTGAGCCTTGGGGCACCCCTGTGGAGAGGCAGTGGGAGGAGGATAATTGTCCTTGCCACAAAACATTGTAGGAGCGCCCGAGAAGTAGGATTTGAACCACAGGAGTGCTTTATTCGAGATGCCCATTGCTGAGAGAGCGGATAGCAGGATCCTGTGGTTGACTGTGTCAAAGGCAGCCGATAGGTCAAGCAGGATAAGAACCGAGGATTGGGCTGCAGCTTTAGCTGACCTTAGGGCTTCTGTTACAGACAGAAGAGCTGTTTCAGTAGAGTGGGCACTCTTAAAACCAGACTGATATGGATCTAGGAGGTCATTCCCTGAGAGGAATTCTGAGACCTGTATTGATACTGCCCGTTCAATAGTTTTGGATAAAAAAGGTAGAAGAGACACTGGTCGATAGTTCTCAACTTGAGTTGGGTCAAGTGAGGGCTTTTTGAGCAAGGGTGTAACCCGAGCTCTTTTGAAAGTGGTCGGGAAGGTTCCTGAAGCCAGAGAAGTATTTATCACATGAGTGATTGTCGGGACCACAGAAGGAGATATAGCTTGGAGGAGATTCGTAGGAATCGGGTCCAGTGGGCATGTAGTTGGTCGGCTATGGGTAAATGGGTTCTGATACTTCACTCTCTGTGAGAGGAGTAAATGAGGAGAGTAAAGAACCACTGACCTGGGAGGGCAGAGGAAAAGATGTAGTAGGACTGCTACAATGGTTGAGTTTGAATGTTTCAGAGAATTGGCTAGTTATAGCTGCAGACAAGTTTGTGGGTGGTGGAGGAGGATTTAGTAGCACTTTAAAAGTGGAAAATAATTTCCTTGAGTCAGTGGCACTGCTAATTCTGTTATTATTGAACGCAGTTTTGGCAGCACTGATGCTTGTTAAGAAGGAGGATAGGAGCAATTGGTAGCCCTTAAGGTCTGCGGGGTCTTTGGTTTTTCACCATTTTCTTTCAGCAGCTCTGAGATCAGTACGGTTTGGGCGAGCAGGCTTGGTGGTCCACACTTTTATTGTTATTAAAAACAGCGAGCAAAACCAAAATACAGCAGACAGGCTTCAAGCTGCTTTCACACCTGTACTTTCAATTATACATTTTTACATTTTAATTCTGGCCGGTTCCTGTTATACTGACTTTACAAACGAACCATGAGACAGCTTTGGCAATTGTCATCCTGCATCATCAGTGACATCAGTTTCTGCAGCACTTTAATGCTTCTGATGTATATTTCTGTTCTTTGGTGTCACAAAGAGCTCACCAAGAAATAACTGATTAAAACATTATTAGTATGGGGCCACGAGATCTTGAGAGATTAAAACAAGATTGTTGTCTTGTTAACAGCTGTTTTTTCTCACATAGTGAAAAACAATTGTATTTGATAACGTCCACTCCGCCCAGCTGATGCCATGATAGTAACAGAGTAAACCTGTTCTCGTGCAGTGAATCTAGACAGTTGTGACAGTGGTAACATAGCAGATTTGCAATATAAACATCTAAAAACTGAAGCGCAGAATCTGTTTATTTTCTCTTTATCAGAGGTGCTGAGGTTAATGTGTGGATTTTTGGTGAGATTTCTGCCTGATCACAAGTGTTTTGGTTAGTTACAGTTTCAAAACAGACTAGACCAGCAAAGCAGTAACGTAATACACAGCGTATAGGGCAGGTAGATGATGTTAGTCTCATAATATTGCCACTTTTTTTTGGGAGATGTCAGGGAACACAGAACGTGAACATGAGCAGCAAAACTGCTGAAACACAGGGGCTATTAAAATCCAGGAGTTTCTAACTGAATTAAAATGATTTCAAATATCATTGAGGGGAAAAGGTGCCACATGCACATTTAAAGAGGTTATGCACAGAATGCCTGAGAGCCTTACACCATTATATTTATTCTGTTAGAGTTTTAGATTTTAAATCGTCACCTGCCACCTGAATTTTGTGTTTCCCTTTACATAAAAAAACATTCCCACCACTTTTCACACCTGTGAGTTTGTAAAAAAGAATATTAATTAAGCACATTGCAAGGTTGTAATTTCAGTTGTTTCATTTATGAATATATTGATATCAAACCACCTCTCATCTGTCCTGGACATTCTCTCACAACTTTCATAAAATATCCAGAGAAACAGAGAGAACCACCAGGGCCCCGTTTCAGAAAGCGGGATTAGTGAAAATTCTGAGTATGTTCAGCCTGAGATGAGGGTAACTCTGGGTTTTCTGTTTCAGAGAGCGCAATCAGATAAACTCTAGATCAGTAACTCCGGCCCATCAGTTGAAAAACTGCCTGCGGAGCCTGAGGCGGCTGTCTGACACACCATTTTCATTTCCTCATTCATACTGTCGATATCAAAGCACATATCTGAACGCATTTACATCTTTAAAAACTTTTAAATCCCGGTTGGATAGGCTGTTAGTTTTTCATCCAAACATGATCTTGAACATGACGCTTTTATGATGAATTTGTCATTGACGTTGGACAGATCTCCGCACATCGTGGATTTATCCTAATAAAATCTATGTCTGTCTTTAGGTATGACACTGTGCCAGTTGGACTGAAAACACTTACTGTGAGCTACATTACTGCAGTAATTACTGTAACATAGAAAACTGATCAATGAACAGTTATCTTGTATTGTAGTTGCGCTGATTGGAACATTCCTATCTTAGTTATCATACTGGATACAATGTGAATATTTCAGAGTGAGGATGACTGTGGTGCAGCTGAAAAAAAAGGCCTGAGGTTTTTATCATTAGCTGCATATATTCTGAATGTGTTTTAACAGCATTAATAAAATACAAAATTATCAAGATTTTATTAATGTAAAATAGACGTCTAAAACTTTGTTTGAACCCAAATACACATTTTTTTTAACAGGCTTACCTACTGGGTGTGACTGTGACTTTACAATCACAGGTTCATGAGTAAACTGTGTCTTAAATTTGATCTATACCTATTTTCATAAGTATTTATTAATCATACTGTTTCATTAGTTTGGTGTTATTCTTGTTACAAAAAAAACTGTTTGTCTGTTTGCCTGTTTGTCTTGCTGAAATATCCCACTTTTTAACCACAGATTTAACCAGTGTTATATTTATGTGTACAAATTGGTGGGGCACCAGCCATTTCAAAACAAAGGCTACATACCAGTAAAACTACAAAAAATGTTTTTCTACTGTGTTTGTAACAGGGCAACAAACAGTTTATTGATCTCCAACAAACTACGGAAAGGTCTCTTAAAGTGACAGAGCCTAATATGACAACACTTATATGCTGCTATGCACCTTTTAACTCAAACCCAGGGGTTATATAATAGAGTATATAGCATTTTATGCGTATGCCACTTGCCCATGGGGCCGTAAAGCAATACTCCATTCTTGTGATGTGTTTCCTGCCTTGGATTCCAGTGCTACATAATGCAATACCAGGTACTCTGGGCCAGAGTGACAGAAACACCATTATCCTTATTACAAGTCAGTGTACCATCAAAATGGTTTTGAAGCTAAGATTTTGAGATAAAATCCAGCCTAGAAGAAACAAATGTGTGGACTAGTTTGCTGCATCTAATAATAAAAGTAAATAAAACCCAAAACACAAGATATAAAACAGTAGTACCAAAGTACTATCAGTTCTGACATAGCCGTAAGATCAAAGTGAGATTTAAAAGAAGATACTGAGTTTGCAGGGAGGTCCACAGCTGAGGTCTGATCTTGATTAAATGTCTCTTTTGGACAAAGCAGAACTGCACCACTAGTCACCTGAGCATCAAAAGACAAATGTACACCTACTTTACGGGCTATCATTACATTAGCACCCAGACTAATCCACAGACTGCTGGGGCCAGAGGAAGGCATTCGAATTATTTGACTGATTTGGAGTCATTCAGCTACAAGGCATTTCATTCATTCAGCAAGACAGGATATAATAAAGTACACATCGGTGGTACCAGGCTTTATTTCAGCAAATACTGGGAAACATGCTTTTAGCTACAGATGGTAGTTTAAAGCTTGCCATCAAGTCTGGCAACAGAGCTGCCACAGCTCTTGAAGGAAACATTCTGAAGGAGTACTGAGAGTCGAGAACATGCTAATGATACTGGTTGTTTATGGCTTATGAGCAATGTACAGAAAAACAACATTGAAATCCAATACATCTTTGAATTGAGTGCAAGACAGTGTGGAGCCTTATGCATTTGACTTTGCTTTACAGATGCGGGGGCAGAAGTGCAGGAAGAGGAGGAAGAAGAAGATATTAATGACAGGAGGAAGAAAACAACTGGACTGTTTGGCAGTGGTGAAAGCACAGGAGAAAGTGGCTTGGTTAACAGCAGTAAGCAAACAGATAGGACAATGTAAACAATACTCAAATACCCGGCCCATAGGTGAATTGGGAGTAGTATCATGGCGTGTGCATTATTGGGTTATAAGGGTTAACTGACAATAATTCAGAAGTCTTAGATGTATCTCTTTACTAAGGTAAGCCTGGTGCAGACACAGATCCAACGAAGGAAGAGGTCAGCTTGTCAGTGGGGTCACAGCAAAGTCCCAGCTTACTGGAGGACACCAACAGGTGGGTGAGCGCAGCTACAGATGTGTTGACAGAGCCCGCTGAACATTAGCTATGTGTTACACATGTACCCACTCCTGACCTTGACCCAAATACGAACAGCCAATCACAAGGTGTAAAAGAACCATTAGCTGTGAAGTACAGTGCTGACAGACAGCTGATTGGACCCTTACAGATGGCTGATTGATTATGGATGTACTGCAGACATCAGGGAGCTGACAAGGGTCAACAGCTTTTTCTGACTCTGCTTATTTGTTAATTAACACGAGACAGCAGTGGGGACAGATGTAGCTAGCGGAAATGCTCTACAGTCAGACTAACGGATGTATGTATGTAATTAAGCTTATATATTAGAATAATGAATAAATAGTGGGTGGCTGTGTGTACGGGCACAGAGACTACAGATGGTAAATGGTCTATACTTGTACTGCCCCTTTCAGACCAGTCAAAGCGCTTTTACACTACATGACATTCACCCATTCACACAGATGGCAAAGGCTAAGGTGCCTCTGCCATCAGAAAACTAAATACACATTCACACACAAATGGAACAGCATTATAATAATAATAATGACACTGACTTGCTGAGGTGTTTTTAAATTTGGATTCTCAATGCAATCAATGTTTACCTGGATATCTTGTTTCCTTAAAATAGTTGATATTTTATTCGGCAACAGTGGACTGGACCTCAAATAAAATATATATGCACACAAGCAGTATACAACAGTGGTGTGCCATGTTTGGTCATTGAGCCCTCTGTTGGTGCTTTAGAGGCATTTCATGCCAATGAAAACCAGAGCAAATAGAGAAATTCGCAAGTTACTAACTCCACAATCTGGAGTTAGTAACTTGCCCAAGGACATTACAATGTGCAGACTGGAGCCGTGATCAAACCACCGACCTTCTGCAGCTTTTCATACAGCACTGTACTGAACCTACACTTTGTTAATAAAATTGTGAATACCAATATTTGGAAATATTAATATCATAAGCACTTGTTCAAAAGGGGGCACCACCTAAAAATTTGCTATCTGCCCAAGGCTTTTAGGACTCCTTGGGTATAGCTTATTAATTACAACAATTATTACTAGTGATCAGTTAGTTCTTCCATCCATCCATCCATCCATCATCAACCGCTTATCCTGTGTACAGGGTCACAGGGGGCTGGAGCCAATCCCAGCTGATATCGGGAATATTAACATCCTAAAGTGAATACAAGTGAAGGCAAATAGGGATAACAGAATTTAAAAACAAACAAACATTAAACCAACAACAAGAATGCAATCAACGGGAGATAGAACAGAATTAATAGGGTTCAATGTGAATTCAGTTTGGCTGTTGTGGAAAGAATATGACTTAAGACATAAAGAAACGAATGGACGCAGGTGCTACGGGGATAACTAAGTTCATAAGGCTATAATATAATCATATAAGGTTATGAGGTTCAAAGCTAAAGGACATTAACTTTGACCACAGAATGTAAAGTTGATTTACCTTACTGCTTTGTGGTTCCTCAGCCTTGTTACTTCGAAGGCCCACAGCTAGCTGCTCGGTTCGTTGCATTCACGGCCTCTTGACAGGCTTGGCACGGAGGCATGGTACAGCGGTGGTTCGAACGTCTCGGGTTACGTATGTAACCCTGGTTCCCCGAGAAGGGGAACGAGAGACTGCGTCGGTTACGACACTATGGGAACGCCTCTAGGCGAAGCAGGTCTGAACGTGAATGAAATCACTCCAATCCTATTGGCCTGTTGCTAGAACGGTAAGGTGTGACGGAATAACCGGAGGAGTATAAAGCACACCTGTACACACTCATCATTAGCTTAAACTATGAAGCAGGCGCTTCAGGCGGGGAGAGAGGTGCGGCGGGCCGACGCAGTCTCTCGTTCCCCTTCTCGGGGAACCAGGGTTACATACGTAACCCGAGACGTTCCCCTTCGAGGGAACTCGAACTGCGTCGGTTACGACACTATGGGAACGAGATACCCACTAAACCGTGCCGAAAACCCCGCCTGCCCCTGTGTGCAATAAAGTGGCACGACTAAGAGGAGAGCGCACGAGTGCCAGGTGCCGAAGGAAGGTCAAGACTGTAAAACCGAATGAATGTGTGCGGAGTGGCATAGCCAGCCGCTAAACAACATCCTGCAAGAGGCCCCGGAAAGGAGGGCTCGAGAGGCCGCCTTGCCTCTGGTAGAATGAGCCCTCACAGCCACAGGTGAAGGCAAACCGCGCACCTGATAGGCCAGGGAAATAGTCTGAACAATCCAGTTGCTAATAGTATGTTTGGATGCAGGGAGCCCGGCCCTGGGAGACCCAAAACACACTAGCAGCTGGTCAGCCTTCCTCCAACGGGAGGACCTCAGAGTGTAAATACTCAGTGCTCTGACAGGGCAGAGCAGATGAAGTCTCCCGTCCTCCGCCGTCACATGAGGTGGAGGATGAAATGCCTGCAGCACTGTGGACCCTGCCGCACAAGAAGGCACTTTAGGGATGTATCCTGAATGAGGGTGCAGGATAGCCCTAATATTCCCCGGGGCAAACTCCAGGCTTTGCGGGGAAACCGAAAGCGCTTGGAGCTCCCCCACCCTCCTTAGAGAGGTGATAGCAAGGAGAAAGGCCATCTTGAGGGTCAAGTGCTTAGCCTCAGCTGACTCCAGGGGTTTGAAGGGGGCCTCAGCCAACGCCCCAAGAACCACTGCCAGATCCCAAGTGGGAACCTTGGACCGAGTCGCAGGTCTCATCCTCCGGGCACCACGGAGGAAAAGTACAACCAAGGGAAGTTTCCCCAAGAACCCCTCCCTCAGAGGGGTGTGGAAAGATGAAATAGCTGCCACGTACACCTTGAGGGTGGAAGGGGAAAGACCAGCAGAGAACCGGTCCTGGAGGAACTCAAGTACCTGAACCACCGGGCAGGTAACAGGGTCCACCGACCGCTCCCTACACCAAGTGGAGAAAACACTCCACTTCAGGCCGTACATCCTCCGTGTGGACGGGGCCCTGGAGCTCAGGAGGGTCTCGACTGCTCCGGCTGTTAGACCCGCCTCTAGGTACTGTGCCCCCTCAGGGGCCAGACCCACAATCGCCATATGGCGGGGCAAGGGTGAAGAACCCGGCCCTGCGCCTGGGACAGCAGGTCTCTCCTCAGAGGGACCCGCCACGGCGGGCCGTCCAGGAGCGACATGATGTCCGAGAACCACACCCGGGTTGGCCAGAACGGGGCTACGAGCAGTAGGCCGACATAGTCCTGGCGGACCCGCTCCAGAACCCCGGGAGCAGAGCGACTGGGGGAAAAGCGTACAGACGTAGCCTCGGCCACGAATGTACCATGGCGTCCAGACCCAACGGGGCTGGAGGAACGAGAGAAACCATAGCGGGCAGTGCGTAGTCTCTTGAGACGCAAACAGATCCACGTCTATGGGGCCGAACTCTTCGCACAAGAGCTCCACCACTTCGGGGTGAAGTCTCCATTCCCCGGGCCTCAGCCCCTGCCTCAACAGCAGGTCTGCTCCCTGATTCTGCGTCCCCAGGAAATACATCGCCCTGAGCGATAGTAACCTCTGCTGGGACCACAGGAGGATCTGACGCGCCAGTCTGTCCAGAGGGCGCGAGCGCAGACCGCCCTGGTGATTCAGATAGGCCACCACCGCTGTGTTGTTCTCCTCAGAACGAACCAGGACGTGGTGGCCTTGGAGATCGGGCAGGAAACTCCTCAGAGCCTGGAACACCGCCAACATCTCGAGACAGTTGATATGCCACTCGGATCGATGCACCTGCCAGGATCCCCTTGCAAAGCGGCCATCCATGACCGCGCCCCAGCCCGTGAGGGAGGCGTCTGTCGAAATAACCAGCCGGCGACAAGACCCTCCCAGCACGGGCCCCTGGGACAGGAACCAAGTTTCCTTCCAAACTGATAGGGAACGAAGACACTTGCGCGTAACCCAAACCAGACGGAGAGGATTCCCCTCGGGGGAAAACCCTTGTTCCTTAGCCACCACTGCAGGGGTCTCATGTGCAGCAGTCCAGATGGTATTACGCTGGACGCAGCCGCCAGGAGACCCAACACTCGTTGAAAGTGTTTCATAGTGATGGCGTGGCCTAACTTCACCCCTTTCACGGCAGCCAAAGAAAAAACACACCTTCTGTACATCTGGTTGCCGGACATGCTGGTAGACTTCTTCTTCAGGTAAGACATACTGCTTGTAGGACTGGAGCTTTCTTCAAACAACATACAGAGCGCCTGCTGAATAAAAAAAAAGCTAATGATGAGTGTGTACAGGTGTGCTTTATACTCCTCCGGTTATTCCGTCACACCTTACCGTTCTAGCAACAGGCCAATAGGATTGGAGTGATTTCATTCACGTTCAGACCTGCTTCGCCTAGAGGCGTTCCCATAGTGTCGTAACCGACGCAGTTCGAGTTCCCTCGAAGGGGAACTGGATTTTTTGCCATTGAGTTTCTCTGGGTCCTTCGGGTTTGGCTTGTGCCTGCTGGAACTCTTGCAGTGATCTAATCAGTTAGCTCTTGTACGTTTTCTGAGTTGGGTGTCCCCTCGCGGTTACAGGTGGCGTAACCGACTCGTTTGCCTAGCCTCCACAATCTGTGGGTCGTAAAAGTAGTGGAAGTTAAATTAAACAGAGGGTTTTTAAAAGAAACTTGATTGTTGTTTCTCAATCAAAAGTTGCATAAATTGAGATCTAATTACTATAACCAGAACAAAACAAAGATAAATTTACTGAAGGTTTACAAGACCTCATGAATATAATTAATGTTGCTGAGATGAATCAAATAGTCTGGGGAAATTTTCAGTTAAGGCTCGAAAATAAAAGAAAATGGAAGTTGCGAGTCTAAGAGCAGAGAAGAGAAGTGGCTGGAAGAGAAGGGGAGTCACCTTTTGGTTTTTCCCGGTTTTAAATTTTAATTTAAAGTAATGTCTTAAAGTCTATTTGCGGTGTTTTAATCACATCTCTCCACAATATCCACCCATTCTTTAAATTTCATGAGCAGTTGCACAGTTCTTATTTCTAAGCATTTATACAAAAGAAAAGGAAACTTACAGTGGATAGATAAATAATGAGGCAAAGATAAATCATGTCAGAACTTTTTCCACCTTTAATGTGAACAATTCAATAGAAAAACAAACTGAAATCTTTAAGGGGGAAAAATGAAAAATAAAAACCCTCAAATAACCTAGTTGAATAAGTGTGCACATCCTTTAGACTACTACTTTGTTGAAGCACCTTTTGATTTTATTACAGCAGTCAGTCTTTTGGGTAGGAGTCTGTTAGCATGGCACATCTTGACGTGGAAATATTTGCCTACTCTTCTTTGCAAAAGTGCTCCAAATCTGTCAGATTGCGAGGACATCGCCTGTGCACAGCCCTCTTCAGATCACCCCACAGATGTTCAATTGGATTCAGGTCTGGGCTCTGGCTGGGCCATTCCAAAACATTAATCTTCTTCAGGTGAAGCCATGCTTTTGTGAATTCGGATGTGCGCTTTGGGTCGTTGTTGTGCTGAAAGGTGAACTTCATCTTTCTAACAGACGCTTGATGGTTTTGTGCCAAAATTGCCTGGTATTTGTTCATAATTCCCTCCACCCTGACTAAGGCCCCGGTTCCAGCTGAAGAAAAACAGCCCCAAAGCATGATGCTCCCACCACCATGTGTCACTGTGGGTATGGTGTTCCTTGGGTGATGTGCAGTGTTGTTTTTGCGCCAAATATACCTTTTGGAATTATGGCCAAAAACCTTGGTCTGGTCACCATAACACATTTTCCCACATGCTTTTGGGGGACTTGATGTTTGTTTTAGCAAACTTCAGCTGTGCTTGGATGTTTTTCTTTGTAAGAAAAGGCTTCCGTCTTGCCACCCTACCCCATAGCCCATTCATATGAAGAATACGGGACATAGTTGTCACATGTACCACACAGCCAGTACTTGCCAGAAATTCCTGCAGTTCCTTTAATGTTGCTGTAGGCCTCTTGGAAGCCTCCCTGACCACTTTTCTTCTCGTCTTTCCATCAATTTTGGAGGGACGTCCAGTTCAGGTCAGTTGGTCATATTTTATCCACTTGATGATGACTGTCTTCACTGTGTTCCATGGTATATCTAATGTTTTGGAAATTATTATGTACCCATCTCCTGACTTATGTCTATCAACAATGACATCTCTCTGATGCTTTGAAAGCTCTCTGCGGACCATGGCTTTTGCTCAGAGGTGCAACTAAGAAAATATCAGGAAAGTCCTACTAGAATAGCTGAGCTTTATTTGTGATTAATCAGAGTCACTTTAAATGATGGCAGGTGTGTAATGACTTCTAGTTAACCTGCGTTTGAATGTGATTGGTTAATTCTGAACACAGCCACATCCCCAGTAATAAGAGGGTGTGCACACTTATGCAACCAGGTTATTGTCAGGTTTTTATTTTATTTTTTTCATTTTTCCCCTCAAAGATTGTTTTTTTTCTATTGAATTGTACACATTATAGGTCACATTAAAGGTGGAAAAAGTTCTGACATGATTTATCTTATTATTTTTACATCACAAGAACCTGGCATTTAAACAGGGGTGTGTAGACTTTTTCTATCCACTGTGAAGTGAATCATCCGTGATGCTTAGAACTGTTAGTAGTAAACAACACAATTTATAGTAATCATATCAGAGTCCCAAGACAATACTGATTATAAAAAAAATATATACTGTATATAAAAACATATAAAAAAGTAGTTGAAACATGAGATCGGGTTAAACAATAGACACGGACAGTAATAGGTAAATGAGCACAAAGACATTAGTCAGTTCCAATGGCATGTTATATCTCTTTTGTCCTTTGGGGACAATAGTTTCATGAAGGGAACCGGAAAATAGCTCTCATTGCTTAAACTTTTTAGTTAATTCAATCTTGACCCCAGGAGCCGGGTTATGTAACATATTACAATATTTGTGTATCATATTATTTAACCGTTTGCACATTTGTACTTTTTTTTTTTTTGCCTGGTATAGAGCCTGAGGAGCTGGATACCATGTTGTGCTAGACAGATTTTACTTTAACAAGAGAGTATTAATATACTCCTTTGTCTGTTTTATTATTTATGTAAATTTATTTGTCACCGGGCCGGACAGGGGGGCAGACATGGGGATGGGGGGGCACAAACAGACAGCACAGAGAAGGGGGAGGGGGGCTTGGGGAGGAGAAAAACAAACAACAAAAAAACAAAAACAAAGAGACAACCAGCCGAACAGTAGCAATAAACAGCTGACATAAGAAGACAACTGAGAGAGAAATGAAAACGGGAAAAAATAAATAAATCAGGCAACATAAATAAACAACTCAGCACCGCAGTGAGAGCTGAGATAACAACAATTAATTTAAATAAGTAACTGAAAGAAAAGCATCAAGAATAATTCTGCCAGGGACAACCTTTGTTTGTGTGTGTGTCTATATGTGAGACTGTGTGTGTCTGTGTGCGTGTGGGTGAATGTGTCTGTTACAGAATGTAGTTATTAGTGAGTGAGATGCCACAACCTCGCTGCACCGACTCCAGCGACAGGCAGGCAAGACCCCCAGTAGCCAATAGGGTGGGAGAAAAAAAAAAGAAGTTGTTGACTCCCAGATGGACCCCGACCCAACCAACAAACGCCGAAGACACCGGTCATCCAAATGCCAATTGACAACGCAATGCCACCAAAAGCAACATCACATTTGTACTTTTGGTACATAGATTTTGTTTAAGCCTGTAAAAGTGAGATTGGATGTCTCTTCAAAATCACAGAGTGAAGTGGTCATCTCAGTTCCATACGTATGTGAAGAGTAAACAAGAAAAGCCCTTTGATCTGTGCCTGTGTGTGTGTTGAAGATCCAGTTTGGGTTTTTTATTTATGGCCTCTGCCCACTCAGAGTTGCCCTAGTTCAGGGAGAGGTCAGGCCGTCTGCTAAGCGGGTGGTAACTCAAATCCGTTCTTAGGGAGAAACAAATGAGAGATGGCCGTATTACTACAGTACAAATTAGCTATAACAATCCAATGTTCTCTTTTCTCAGAGCTCACTCAACACTAGATGATGTGCTGCAGGGCTTAGTAGTGAATAGCACCAGAAAGAGCCCTGGACCAAGTGAAGGGGTCACCACATTGTGAGTATCCAGTAGAGATGGGTGCAGAGTTGGATCTGACTTAAGTACAACCAAATACCAAAAGTTATTCTCAATTGATATACTAACTTTTTTCAGTTGGTTTTGCAGGGGAAAGACAGCACAGTTAAATATGCAGAAAGGTCAGATGTTTTCTCTAAATCGACATGTTCTAGGCTGCACTGGGGCCTAAGCATGGCTGGATTCATCTCTCTGTTGGTCCAACACTTTGGTCCAGAGCAAAGTCCAGCCGTGTGTCAGTTCAGGAGTCAGGGCTCACTTAGCATGAACATGATATGAATCATATGCTGCTGTATGGCCTTCACATTTGGTGCTCTTCACCACAATCATCAAAACACTGTATGAGGAAATATCTTTGGAAGAATGCTGCTTATCCTTCCAGTAGAGTTCCACACACCTGGAGAATCTATGACAAGGAGCACTGAAGCTGCGGTGGAGGCATGTGGTGGAACACAGTGCCTGCTGGGTTTTCCCTTTGTTTGTCATGTACAGCTGCTTAGAATTTAATATTTTAAAAGTGCAGCCTGTCGACACCAGAACACATGATCTGTTCAGACTGCAAAACTTTCTCTATCTTGTTGGCCCTCATTTATCAATCTTCCGCAGAAACGGGCGTATTTTTGTGCGTGAGATTATGCTTACACTGTTCTCAGCGCCTGATTTATCAATGAGAGTGTACCCTGGCATTTCAGGTGTACGCACCACCTGGTGTTGAAAAATGCGGCGGCTGAAAACGTGCGTAATTTGAATGAAACGCCCCCAATTATTCAAGGGAGGCCGCACCCACGACTTCATGGCAGGGACTGACGGAATACGGCAAATAATACACGGTTTGGAGCAGGAAATCCACAAATTAAAACTTAAGAATAAAATATTATAGAATATTATGTTGTTTTGACAGATTTAAATAAAGATTAAATGTTTAGTTTCACTACTAGAGCATAAATGTTCATAAATATTGTGCATTTTAATATTACGAGATGTTTCTTTTGGAAACAATTTAATACTTTTTTATTTAAAATGATTTAAACTGGACACATTTTTGACAAAATGTTCAACGCGCTTAAAACTGGACACGAGCAGTCAGATGAACCATAAACAGTTCAGGTCCAGCCCGAGAGCCAGTGCTGGAGTCAGGGGGACCACCGCGCGCTGTCAGCCTCAGAGGAGGATGCGCTCATCACGGAGGAGCAGGGCACGGGCCAAGAGCCTCTCGCTGAGCGTTTACTTTGATGAACGGAGGACATGCGGACAGATACGGGGCGGTGGACCCCCAGCGTGCAAAGCAAGCCTTCATAATGTTTTGTGGCTTTGGGAAACAGTGCTCTGCGCTGTCCTGGGACTATTAAGGTCAGTAGCACAGACTTGGATCTGACCATCCGCGGTGAGTGCTCACTGTAACCTTTCTTTTATGTTCAGAGTGAAACATTGTGTCCGGGGACGCGGGGCCTTTAGCGGGGGTGTCGGTGCTCGCTGTTGCTGTCATAATACAAAGTTTGTCTTATAATAAATGCAGGGCTTTGTGCACGACATGTCTGTGCCAGCCTCACTTAAAGGGTGTGGGGTTGTGTCCATTTCGGCAGCCAATCTCAGTGCTTCAAGCCATCCGCTTATGCTCTTCCTTGTTTGTATGCAGTATTTATTTACCTTACAACATGTTTTGCTCATAGCCTTTTCATTAGAAGATACACATTTTATTAAAAGCAAACCCAAATAAAAGGCACCTAAAGCTACGATAAAATAGTCCAAATACAAATCAAAGCATGTTTTGAATGCTCAATTATTATATAGGCTGTATAAAGTCCGTGTTGCTCAAATATAAACACCAAAATTAATGTTTCAAACGTTGTTTCTGTTACAGTGGGTCATAATATCATATCTTTTAGTTTGTCAGTGCGTTAGGTTGTGCTGTTAGGAATTGTTTTTCTGCGCATTTCCGAACTAACTCAAAACTTGCGTACATGTACACCACCTCCTGAGCTGGCGTAGGATTTGAGCGTGCCCTACGCCAACGTCCATATTGATAAATCTCAAAGTCACCGTGGTGTTGGGTGTACGCCAGGTGTACGCTGGAAATTTGGTGTACGCACTTTTCATAAATGAGGGCCATTGTTTTGAAATGGAGCACACCTAATTCAGTTCAATTCAATTTTATTTATATAGCGCCAAATCACAACAACAGAGAGAGCAGGTCTAGACCATACTCTGTGATGTTATTTACAGAAGCCCAACAGTTCCCACCAAGAGCAAGCACTTTAAGTGGCAGAAACCTCGAGCAGAACCATGGCTCAGGGTGGGCGGCCATCTGCCTCCACCGGTTGGGGGTGAAGGAGAGACAGAGAGGGCTGGGGGTAGGGGGGAGCAGCAGACACAATACCCACACAGAGGTACAGACTGACGTCCCCCGGGAGTCTAGGCCTGTAGCAGCATAACTAAGGGATGGTTCAGGACTCACCTGAGCCAGCCCTAACTATAAGCTTTATCAAGTTGAATTACTGGCATGACTCATGGCTGAATGCACGTATTGGAAGTCCATTAAAGCATCAGCTAAATAATGTAATGTAATATTGTCGTAGAGTTCAATCTTAATAGAAGTTAAGCTGTAAGAAAATATAATTATGACAGTATTCATGTAGTTACATACTGGAAATACCCTAATAAAGTATCTCCCATCTCTAGATTTCACCTCTTTGAAAGGCAGAGAGGTGATGATGAAGGACACCCAGTGGTCAGCTCCAGTGGAGACCAGGCCCCCATCTGAAAACACTCAGCTGGTAATGTTTGATAAGCTAAGACTCGTACATGCAGTGCTTTAAAGCACCAGGGCCAGTAGAACACGGACATAGACAGAAACATACACGCACGTTCTTGACAGACTTCTAAAGCCGAGTGTACACATGGTTCCTGCTCCACCAGTCAAAAACCTTCAAGTACAAGTTCTGTCATTATCGGCGATGTTTCAGTCCCCTCTATTAAAAAGCTCATTGATTTCTAGCTCTCATATCCAAAGTGCTTCACTTCACATTGAAAAGATCATGATGCCTCTAATGTAAATTCAAAAATAAGAATTAAAGTTTTTTATTAAATAACATCTCTCACTGCAAGACACCCAGCCTTTGTATATCTGATGCCAGATTGAAACAATGCTAAATGTAACTGTGACAGTCAAAACAGGTTGAAGCATGTTGGGGTTTGAGGGAACTCAATAGCTTCTTCCACTCTGTGTGTGGCTACAGGACTGTCGGAGCTGGACTCTTCACGAACCAACTACAAGTCAAAGGAAAAAGTTGTTTTGTTTGTGGTGGACTGTTACGAATATGCTGTTTTTAAGCAAGTTTGTTATTCTGAAACGTGTTTTGAATTTTTCAGCTGCTGAGGCTGAGTAGACTGGCTTTATGAATTTATGAATGTTAAGGTCAACGTTGTAACACTTCAAATTGTTAAAGAATTTATTCAGAATTGTTCTTAAGTCCTTTTCATGTGCATGGGTAATTTTGAGTACAGCAGGTACATCTCCCCCTTCCCAGAGTCTGCAGCCTCCAGCAGTAGAACCATTTGAGCTCAACATCTCCATGAAATGAGGACAAAAACACTTTCTGCAAATGGGTTTATTTTACATTGTGTTGTTTGGAGATGTGCAAATAAAAATTATATACAACAATCTGATCATTCCACTTGTGTTTCCTCTGACAGCCCATAAGGTTCCATTTTAGAGCCTCCCCTCTCCTCAGAGGAAGAGCAGTCCAAGCAAAGATGTTAAATGCCACCTAACCTTACATGTTTCTTCTCACGTCAACAACTCTGAATTGTCCACAGATGTGAAGGTGAATCTGACTGTCAGCCAGTGCCCATAATTGACACTAGTATTGCTCATTTGGGTTTCATCTTGGTTTCCTTTGATTCAGAGTTCTATATAGTACAGGAATGTCAACATGACTCATATGCAGATGTACATAAAGACCTTTATTACAACTCAAATCATTTCACTTCGCTGTAGAGTTACTCAATATGTCAGCTGTGGGAGAAAAGGTCAATTCATAGAACATCCAGCTAGGCCTGCAGTGTGACGTGTATCAGTACTGCTACTATAAACATGTTTTTAAATTCCTCAGGAAATATCTGATTAAACAATAAGCCAAACAGACTTAATTTTTATCTGAGCAGATGTTTGACGTAACCGAGTTTTTGACAGTTCAGTACCCAGCCCTACATACACAACACTAAGGGTGCACATTTTCTAACGGCCCTTTCACATGTAAGAAAAATGAGCTGTCAAATGTTTTGTAAGTATGTACACAAAAGACCCACATGACGGAGAGTATGACTGACATTTGAGACGAGTCAGATCCGCAGTCCCTGACGTCAGTCCAGTCTGATCACGCAACTAGTTAAAGATTAACTTAAGACCCCTGAAAATCTTTGGACTTCTTGCTGCAGGGATGTACAGGTGTACTCCAGGAACCGGAGTCATGTGCTGTCAGAGCTGAAACAAGAATGAAACTTTCAACCAGAGGGAGGAGCTGGTTAGACCACTGTGAAGCTACTCTTTATATTCTTTATATCAGCACGTAGCTGTGTGGGACATCTTTTTGCTGAACAGTATCAAAAGCAAAAGCAGCAGAACATTGCCCTGTGAGTGAATAAAATAAATGCTGCATTTCAGCAAAGGGAACATTTCTCCTTAAACGTGTTTTGCTGTATTCATGCATGTTTCTGAATGACTCACACTAAAAAATCGTGCTCACTGTAAATGGGGCTGAAGAATGGCTCGCGAACACAAATCCAGTGACACCACGCACCCTATCAACAGTGTCCAGGTGTTAATCCACCACCTCACATCACAAGACGAACGTGGCCTTTCTTGTCCAGCTCCACTAAAGAGAGGTGCTGCAGGACCTTCAGCTTGGCTTCACTCACTTTCATCTTCAGCTGCTTCATCTTCTGTATGCTGAGGGAGCCACTGCAGAGGACAAGAGCAAACTGCCGGTTACACGCCTTCTTTCCTTCTGAGTAACTGATAATTCCAAGAGTATCTGAAGCACAGCACAGTGCAGCACAGTGTCCCATGTCATGTTGATAGTTATCAGTTTCTTTCTAAGCAAATCCGACATAAGCGTGTTTTATAAAAAACTGTATCAGTATTGTCAAAAGGTTTATATGTTCAATCTTCCCAGAACTAATAGACTTGTGTGAGTGGAGTGGATCAGCTGGTTTCTAAAACTGGTCTTCTATTGAAAGGGAGTTCCACTGTTTAAGAAGCATTATTTGAAAATTTGGAGCTAATGATGATTTTAGTACTCAAAGCTTCTATAGATTATTTCAACGATTCATCGATGCGTCGTTGAAGAAGTATTTTGCTTTTGCCAGGTGCTTTATGATCAGGTGCCGTCGTGCTGTTGCAGTAGCGTTAGGCCACATAAGTTATGTTTTACAGTGGACGGACAATAACATTACAGAGTTGTTGTTTTCTTTAGCTTGAAATAATCCCATACTTCGGACACTTTCTTCTTCGTCCCTCACCATTTTCTCTCTCCTCTTCCACTTTGCAAACAGCGGCATCATGTTCACACAGGCAAGGGCAATGTGCGACAGAAATAAATTTCTGTGGGAAACAGTGCGCTATATAGCTATATGGATTAAACGAAGCCTCGATGCAAAGAATTTGCGTTTCCCACCTGCTGTTCCTGCTGAAGTGCTGCTGCAGCTGCTTGTAGAACACGTTGAGGTCATCCAGCTTGATTTTGGAGAGTATACTGAGAGGGACCGCCTCCAGCATCGCTTCGCTCAGCTCCTCATACTCACAGCCTGTGGACACACAAACGTCAGCTCAGTCACCTGATGGAGGAATATGTATATGTATGAATGTAACTGCTGAAGTAAATAACAACTGATCTGAAAGAGGACAAAATGCCTCAAGGGTCAGTTCATAATTTCTCACTTCCTTCTAATGGTACTGCTTCATGACGATGTTTAGTTGTCTAGGTTTTGAGATATCCGTCTGATATTTGTGGTTAATGCAGTTAAATTTTAAACAACAAGCAAAATTTCCAGATGCTGTTCCCACGTACCTCTGAATAGTTCAGAGACAGCCACTTCTAAACCTGGACAAATAAAACTAAGTATCTGCATGATGGATGCCAACAGAGGGAAGTGAAAAACCTACCCTTTCACATGTATGTTGTACATTTTCAAAACACACAGTACTATTAATGTAGATGTTATATATTATGCTTTATTAACATATTCTGAATTGTTAATTCTGATTCATTTGTTAAACAAACTAACAATTAAACAATTAAATGTAAAGTTACTTTGTGTCAATTTTAGGATTTTTCAAGTACATGAAAAGTCAAAACAGCAGGCAAAAATCAAAGAGAGGTCCTGGTCCCAGTTGTTCAAAAGCAATCAAAATAATATAGAGTTTCGGCTATCGGATTGGATCAAATCTTGAGAATGGGTTGTTCTGATCAGATCACCTAATCCAAACCTTCAGTTTGTGCTGTTCAAAACATTTTAGTAGGACTGGGATCCATTTGATCCAAAACATCAGGATTATCCTGAACAGAAGCTGGATTTCAGGAACAACATTTTTATCATGTAGTAGCCTATATACATATTTATTTATGTTTTGCACTTGATTTGTTTAAACTTTACAGTCATGGTAGATAAAGTAGACATTACCTGTAAGCCATTCAGTACAGTAAAGTAAAAAAAATAAATAATCCCCCAAACAGCTGTCAATATCAAACCAAAATCACGTATATAATTTCAACGGTCACTTATCACTGCACATTAATTACAAAGATAGAATCATCCCTTATTGCACTGCGGTCCCTCATTCTGGGATCGCCTCCTAAAAGCTAAAAGCTGCTCTCTGAACTCTTTATTTTAACTACTGGACTATCAAATTATCTACAGAGTATCTGTGAACCATGTATAGTGGTTGTCGCTCTGACTGTTTAAAGAAATAAAAATAGAAGGAAATGTTTGTGATGTTTTATTGTGCATTTTCTGTCTCTTCAAATTAAAGCGAACCTACGCTGGCTGTTCTACCTGTTGGTCTTCATATCATTAACAGCCTACGTTGTGATATGTGGTCCCATTTAGAGCATGGTAAATCCAGAGATGGTAATCCTGAAAGTTTGTATCTGTATCAGGTTGATCCAATCCAATGTTGCTTTGAAAAACTGGCACAAAAGTAAGCAAAACATGGGATTTCCGAATCCAGATCATTCTGATCCAGATTAAGCTTTTTGAACAACTGGGCCCCGGAGGCAAAAACTTTAATCTCTTCAAGCCTCAGGGATTACACAGAGCTTAATAGTTTGTGCAAATATTTCTTAACTGATGGGTTAATAATTAATAAACTAGCTTTTTGTAATCTAAATAAACTACAGGCTACAGTTCTCAAATGTACTTTTGAAACAGCATTCTCAGATGTCACTGCTGTATTTCAGAATTGGTGTGATGATATATTTCTTTACTTCAATTGATCCGAAAAGATAGATTTTACAGGTCATTTTGTTTTTATTTGCTGGTTCCACAGTCTGTCAGTGAAGGAAACTAACAGTCTGAACAGTGTTGTGGAATTCAAAGGTTATTGGAGTCAAACATGATGTGAACTGTTTTAGAGCTACACGTCAGAGAGATATTTCACTCTGGACTAAAGTGTGGAGCAACCAACAGACAGACCAGCAGAGTAGAAGACTGGAAGGTAATAGACTCACTCAGTGTTTGCTGTTGGCCCGAAGCTGCTGCAGCAGGAAGCACCTAAAAGAAACATTTACCTGGTAATATATATATATATATATGTGTGTGTGTGTGCGTATACTGTACATAGATAGATCTCATTACTATAAAACCTGGTATTCAAATTATGTCTCAAATAATGGCTGAGGGCATTGTCAGCACAAACAAAATAATTTGTGTTAACAGTGAGACATCTTACTAGAACATAAAAAACTATACCATCTATTTCAATGTTTGTTTACAATAACTTCCTGATAGAAAACCCCTGCGTCTTGTAAATCACAATTTAATGGCAGCAAGAACCAAAATCTTTTCTTTTTTCATAATGATCGTTGTGTGAAAAAATGTATACATCTCAAATCATCTAAAAGCATGTTTCATATGTCATTAACAACAGCACTTTCACCAACATTAGGTTGAGACGACGCAAACGCTGTAGACATTTTTAGACAGCAGAGATTACAACTATAAATGATGGTAGAAAAGAGCTTTGGTGCATTTTATGAATATGAACAAACTAAGTCAAGATGATATAAATAACTACGCTGTAAAATTTCATGGGAGATGTTATTTCTGAGCTGTAGTTATTTCTGTGCTCACAAAGTAATGTTTAACGTGTTGTTAAAATCACAAAGGTACTCAGTTTCTAATAGTAAGCTGTAGGGATCCTTCTGCTTCATGTTTTTTAGAAAGACATGAAATAAATGCTGAGTGAGAGTTTGTACTGATTAACAGAAGCTACTGAATGTAGGCATATCTCAGCACGAAACTCCACCCTCAGCTGAGCTACCTCATCATCATAAACTTGCTCATCATGAGGTCATAAACATGTTGAGGTTCCTGGAACAGAGCATTCCAGCTCAGTGACCTTCCCTCAGTAAAACTAGGTAAGAAAATACCGTGAGGACGGTCTGCTGGTGTTCAGTAGTTTGAAGTAATTTTGCAGCTCCTATGGTTTCACTTCTAAACTCCTGACATGGCATTAACTAACAAACAGTAGCCTCACTAGCCTCTGATATGGTGTGCTTTACCATGCTATCAGAGCTCTGAAGCTCCCACTGAGGCAAACCAAAGATGTGAATCACAGTATGAGTCTGCCACCTACAACCCACTTAAGGCTTCTGTTGTGAAGCGGCCTGTTGTGAATAGCAACAGCAATGACTAGCAATTAACATAAAGGTGGTTGACTGCATCTTACCTCAGTCGTGGTCTCACGGACAGTGGAACCCAAGAGCTCTGCTGACTCCTGCACTGACTCTGTCAGTGGCTGAACCTGCAGGGTTTTAACAAAGACAAATGCAATGGTTGTACAACATTTGGCACCTGTTCACCAAAATTGCAAAACGCAAACTGCGAGACAGTTTCCTCTCATGTTAATTTGGACACATTTCCCAGTTCGTCCCATGAAGAAGCATGCGAAAGCTCTGTAGGATTTGTAAATGAATCTTGTAGTTGTGACCCAGAAAAATTTGTGAAAAGAAAATCTGCTACTATATGTGATTTGTGTGTGAGTAGTGCTTGCAAGTGGCTATGGTGAAACAGGCCCAACAGAGGCCCAACAGAGTTTAAGGTAATGATATACAGAAAGAAGAGCCGGTAAACAGCTTTGGGTTCAGCTGTACATGTTGCCGACCAGCTTGGCAACATAGACTGGAGCAATAGTTTCAGAGTGGTGAGTTATTAATCTGTAACAAAAGTATCTTTCATCCATAAAGTTTTAACTGAGCTCTGTCTCTACATCACAGTAACAACTTTATGTCCACTGACTGCCTGGAGGGTAGCTAGTGTTTGGAAGGGAGAGGTGTGTGCTGCAGCTCAGTGTTTTTCCACCGGCGTTTTTGAGGGCGTGTTGGAGTAGCCGCTTGGCGAGCGTTATATGAGGCGCATTTAGCTTTCATCCCTGTGACGTCACAGGGATGAAAGGGAAGCAGCTGGACTACAAACAAGCTGTTTTCAAGCAGCCCAGAGCAGAGTTTTATGTGGGAGATGGGAACTACAATCTAACAGCAGCCAAGCAGAGTTAAAGAGGACAAGACTAGATTGTGACTCATTTAAATCCTATTTGCTCACATCCTGTTGCCTATGGATGAACACTCACATTGTAAGTAGGTGACATGAAGTGAAGCTGAAATGTTAGGTAGACTGTCAGTCTGATCTTTACTTGATAGTACCTTATTACCCAACTGGAACACTGTGCTCCCAGAATGCACTTGTTGTTCCTAGAGTCTCCAAAAGTAGAATGGGAGCCAGAGCGTTCAGACTTTCCTCTTTGATAAAGCTTATAGTTAGGGCTGGCTCAGGTGAGTCCTGAACCATCCCTTAGTTATGCTGCTACAGGCCTAGTCTGCCTGAGAAATTCCCATGATGCACTGAGCTCCTCTCTCCTCCTCTCCCTCTCCAACTGTACGCATTCTTAACCTATTAATGCATGTTATTAACTCAACTTCTTCCCTTCCTAGTAGTCTTGTGATTTCTAGTCCGTCTTCTCTCTCCTATCACTTTCTGCAGGTGTTTTTGACTCGGGAGCTGTGGAGTCTGGATCTGTGGTTTTGGGCTTCCTGCTGCCCCCATGTTCCTGCTTGACCCCAACAACACTAAAGATATGTGGCAGGCCATCAAGAACATCACAGGCTAAAAAGCAGGAGCTCCCCAATCATGTGTGAGGCCATGGGTATGAGGCATTAAAGGTGTTCAGATGAACTGAACACCTTTAATGCTCGCTCTGATCTCCTTAACAGGGAGTCAGCTGTAAGTCTACTCCACATTCAGAGGACCGGCCACTGTCAGTATCTACAGCAGATGTGAGAAGAGTCCTGCTGAGAGTGAATATGAGTAAATCAGCTGGGCCCGATAACATCCCTGGCCGTGTACAGAAAATCTAAGACAATCAGCTAGTAGATTACTGGGGGTGGGGAATGTTAATTAGAGCCCAAGCACGAAACATGCGAGGTCCCTATTGAAACTGAAGGAATTATATATATTTTTTTTTCTGCAAAGTAAGCTCATCTTTGGCGGCCTAAACATGCTCGAAAACTCACCAAACTTTGCACACATGTCAGAAGTGGTGAAAAATTACGTATTTTATGGGTCCTGCACAGCGGCGTGGGAAAATGGCTGGCTAGCACCACCTACAAAATTGGAAAAATATTTGCTTTTTGGCCACATTCAACCTACGTGCACAAAATTTTGGGGGGAAATGTATCATATCAAGACACACCAGTGTTTCCTACAGATTGACAGCGTAACTGGGCAGTCGACTGTCACAGGTTTTATGCCGAATTGCATGCCTGCCAAGAATTATATGAAAATGCTTTAAAGTTCTGCTTTTAAACGCTATACTATTCTTTGTGGGGTTCATCAATAGTGATAAATGATAAGTATATATTTTATGAACATTAAGAATCGTTAATATATTATTAAACTTAGTAGAAGTACCATTTCTTGAGATTCAGCAAAAACATGTGGCGCTAACCACGTTCAAACAGCAAAGTGTCCTAAAAGGACCTTAAGAAGTGAATTGCATAATTCGGCTAAACAGATATGTAGGCTACCTACCGAAATTTGCATCCACCTCTTTTCTCAGTATAACAGAGCGTTACCTCCCGCAAGGTGTCACGTCACTAGACCTCGTGGGAGCAAGGCCTGATCATTGTTATAAACTCACAGTAAGCTTGTAATAGTCACCTACTCTGCCTTCAGGTACAGCTTTTAATGTGTTGGTGAACATGCTTTGTGTGTGTATTGGTATTTCCTTGACGTGTAAAAAAGCGACTGTATATCAGAAGCCTGTGGTGTAATCAGGGATTGCTATAAGGACTTTCCTTTATGTTCTTTTTTCTTCATTATTTATTTTTTTTTTTTTGCCACCGGATAGGTTTTAAAAAGGATAGTGGGAAGTGACATTTGGGGGGGAACTCTGGAGTGCAACAGATGAAGCAGTTGGCGTTTAGTGTGCTCTGCGTGATGTTTGCCAGATGGACTCGACAAAAGGAACATAAAAACTCTTGTTGCTGGATTATATGCTTGGACTTTTCTGGACTATTGCGTTATCCCATCGGCTAAACAGACTGTGTCAAGGTTGCGTAAGTTAACTGTGGAGTATTGGTGACTGCGGCTGCTCGCCACGCTTCACCTGGTATCTTTTGGGAGTTTTTTTTCTTCTTCTTCGTACCGCAGAGGACATCTGGTTCAATTAGGACAATTTAAATTATTTGAATGAACATTTGAACTGCTGGGACACTGGGGGTTTTGAAGGGTGAATTGAATGTATGTGGGGAAATGGTGATAATGTCTGTAATGTTTGTTTGTTTGTTTGTTTGTGTCGGAGTGCGGCCGAGCCTCCAGCGACTAATATCTGTGAGTGTTGCCCGCCGTGGTATAAACTGGTATATCTCTAAATACACACTGTGAAACGCATCAGATGGACTTTTTCCATTAATGTACAATTTTTTTAAGTGTGTATAGGTGCAGGTTAATTGCTTATCTGGTTTATGTAGGGGTGGTTTAACGACAGTAAGCAGGCCGCTGATTGTAATCTCCTCAGCAGGTATCAGATCCGCCCGTTACCATATATTTTGCATATGTACTTTTCCCTTGCTGTTTTAGTGTAAGGCGAATTGTTACAAGCTCACGCAGTCTACCGGAGGTAGATTTTATTTTAGGTATATTTTTATTCCCCTATCTATCAAGTTGGTGAAAATCAGCCAGTTATCTCGAACACACCTGTTTTCAGGATGGGTCTCCGACATTGACAGCATTGTGTTGGACAGATTTGTGCAGCAAATCAGGAAGTTGTTATAACTTCAGTGTATATGCTCACATCTTCACCAAATTTGAAATGAACAATAACCGTCCTGAACACATCCATATGGCAGCATTCACTCAAAAGCATAGCACCGCAACCTGGCAACAAGAAATGACACGTTTTACGCTATGATGGACTACTCTTAGCAGGTTGGCCATGTCAACTTACAAAACTGAGAACACGTTGACGATGCCATGTGGTAAAACTTGAGTTTTCGGTTAATGACGTGGAGGTGGCGTGGCGTTTCACATTTCGCTGTGACACAGGATGTTGTTGTGACTTGACTGTACATGATTAAATTTGTACCAAATTTTACAAATTTAATAAGAGTCCCGCCCTATCTCTTTGCTTAACGTGGACAGTAAAATTTTGGCCAAAATGATCGCTCACCGACTTGAAACTGTCCTTCCAACTATAATCTCACATAAAAAAAAAAAAATCGACAATCCTCCTTTAATATTCGACGTCTGTATAACATCATTTATAGCCCCTCTCTAGCCAGTGAACTGGAAGTGGTTATATCTTTAGATGCCGAAAAGGCTTTTGATCGAGTGGAGTGGGACTATTTATTTCATACCCTTGAGAGATTTGGCGGGTGGCGGTGCATAGATAAGATGCTTGCCTTTGGTGTGGGAGACCTGGGTTCAATTCCCCCTGTGAGACATCCACCATTGTGTCCCTGAGCAAGACACTTAACCCCTAGTTGCTCCAGAGGTGTGCGACCTCTGACATGTATAGCAATTGTAAGTTGCTTTGGATAAAAGCGTCAGCTAAATGAATAAAATGTAAAAAAAAATGTAATGATCAGTATGCATACAGTAAAGGCAATGAGTTACCTTATGACTGAAATCTATACATTTTCTTGTTATTTATGACCATTTGATAAACAAAATATATCCACAACCTGAATGAGTAAAAAGGTATAAAAGTAAAGTAATATGTTAGTATAATAATATATTTACAGGTTACACCTGATTTGGATAATATGCCTACAGAAAGTTTAGTAGTTGAGATTCAGCTTTTTTCACAAATGGAATGTCTGATATTAGCCTACACCACTGTGGTTAAGGTTTGATTAGTGCTAATGTTTGTGTATTCATTTAATTTCAGATAATAGTACAGGCTATTATAGCATACTATTAGTAGCCTAATATTAATTCCAGTTGGACAACAGCTGTTACATTTTGTGGGTTGTTTTCAGTCAGTTATAGTGCAAGAAAAATGCTCTACAAGGTGGTTAGTCTCATTTGTTTATGCAAAGTACTAACTTGTCAAAAAAGTTTTAAAAAGTTTGATGTAGTGCCTCAGCCTTTTTTAATGTCCGGCCCACTCTAGGCTGTGATTGGTTGGTTCACGAAAAGTGACACACAGCTGCATGAACAGCACCCGATCTCCCTGTGGAGATTAGCAGCCAGGAGAGCACGGGAACAGGTGAGCGTCACGTAGTGCCCAGGGAACCTGATATGGAG